GCTTTGGTAATACAAGTATTCCGGCTTTGTGTTCATATTAGTACATAGATGAGTGTAGATGCAGCTCGGCAGGGCCGGCGGATCAGGTGCTGGTTTCCTGTGGGGGTTCGGTAAACTTTCCAGCTGCGGAGGATGTTCTCTGTGTCAGGACGTCACCGCACCATTACACTGCAAGATCTTATGAAACGTGACATTCAGAAGACTGAACAGTCTCAGGGTGACAAAGAAAAACAATCTTCTTTCATTTTTCAGCAGCCATTGTACTAAATGTGAACTCGCCTCATCTACAGGGTTCTAAAGTCATTGGAATCCACTGAGAAATGGATGAATCCTGGGGAAAAGTTGTGTGAATCTTGTGTGAAAACCTTTATTGACTCCGAGCTCTTTAGCTCGGGGCCCTTCAGCTCAAATATTAAAATGTCAGTCCATGCAAAATCCCAATTTAAATTCCTCCTTTCTTTTTATTTCTGGATGGCGAGTTCACAGCTTCACATTTTTATTCTCTGGAGAACTGCTTTTCCTTGTTTTTTTTATGATATAACTACCGAAAATCCATGAGGGAGCCGGTGACATCTTGAAGGTAACACGTGAAAATGGAATCGGAATGAATTTGAAATTAAAAAAAATGTTTTGGATAGAGTAGGAAAGGGTATACAACAGGAAGTGAGAGTACATTTCTCTAAATGAGGGGTATGCCCCTTTTAGACAGTTGTCACCGGAACAGGTGTCTCCATTGGAAGATTCACTCTCACCTTTTGATCTGCAGATGGATTGAACATTTTCTGTCTCAGTGAGGCCGGCCATGCACCTATCAATGGAAAAAAAATTGACGCGATTCCTCCATCAACACAAACAGCGTGTCGATCGAGGAATTGCCGCTGTTTGCATTGTATTCTGACAGGTGCCGCTGGCTCGTCAGAGTAACTGATCATTGTCGGCAGCTCATTGGCTGCTGGCTCTGATCGCCAGAGATTTCCCAGCCGGCTCCTTTGATCAGCTGATGGAGGAATGCCGGCTGAAAGGGAGCTGACAGCCCCACACGCTGTGAATTTCAGGCCGGTACATTAAAAAACAGCCGAAATTCGGCCAGTGTATGGGCACCTTCACAATGTTCAAAAATACAAATAGACTTTTCTCTCTCCTCTCTTACTTCAGAGGTTGGACGGGACCTTCTCCCCCTTCCCTCGCCCCCCCAACCCGCATACCCTATACCCCTCTCCCCCTACAGACTCTTCTCCTCCCTCATTTACTTTTCATCTCCAGCCTGCAGCAGATCTCTCCCCTACCCAGGACATGCTCCTTCACCGTCTTCCTCCCTTGGAATACCTTCATACCCTCTGGAAAGGTTGCTACCCCCAACAGCCGTACAATAACACGCAAGAGGTATGTCTTAAAGGGTAAAGCCCTTTCTGTTTCATCTCCCCCTCGGAAAGTTCAAGGACCATGAAACTTTGCAGCTTTATAGAGGCTTGAATGCTCCATTAATTAACCCATTTATGACTTATAATATTCAATGTACAATGTTCCACCTAGCGATTAGAAGCACAGCTACTCCAGATTACCTGGCTTCAATTACTAATATCCCTGTCTTCCTTTAGGTATTCCAATACTGTTTCTCTCCCAGGAGCTCACACGGTCAGAGGTAGCCAGTGGGAGTGAGGAATAAGGTAAATAAAAACTGCTTTTCAATGGTGCCATAAACAAAATTGGTTATTTAACATTTGGAATCCAAAGGTACCATTGAATTTTCCCAAGATTTCAGGTTTAAGAGTTTCCACTCCAATGCCGTTCTAAGAGTGGCCATTGACTTGTTGATATCACTCTGAGAATGAGGCCCCCAGCGATATCTGCTAGTCACCTGAGCATTGGTACCCCCTTACATCTTTCCCTCATAGTACTATGACCTTTTCTTCTGCTGTAAGTTAGAACCAAGGATTGGCCTTCTCCATAGAAACGTGTGCGATGAGTGCCTCCAACATCTTGAGATGCTTGTCATCACTTCTACCCCAGAAATGCAGAGACTGATAGAAATTAGTGATGCTTGAAATCTGGAGCATTATTTGTAATTACAAGATTTTTAATGGCCATTTCAATACAGGATATAAAAGTCTAACTCAAGATGCACTCATGTGCCGAAGAAGAGCAGCTCTGGTCTGTTCAGGCCAGGACAAGGTGGTGACCCCCAAAATAGACTGAGATTTGAGACACTTCACTTACAAGTCACAATTTTGCTCTTCAGATGAATATAAAAATAATAGTAAAATTGGACATGTGGACTGTATTTTGGTATATACTGTATATATGTATATAAAAACCTTTTTAATGGTAAATTTCAACAGACCAAAATGGAGCAAATAATAGAATAAAATAACCCCATGGAGGGTATTCCCCCATCCATATAAACATTTTCTGGTCTTCTACCACATCAAAAGAGAATTATCAGGTATACTTTTTTGAATTTTTAGTTTCCTTATGATACATTTTGCAATGTATTCCTGTAATAAAAAAAATGCGCCATAAGCTTGAAATTCAATGCAATTGTCATGATACCGTGCATGGGTGTCCCCACACCACGTGCAGGTATCTATACAGGAGAACCAATTACGGGACCACACCAAACAATGCTTATGAACTATAATTTATTAGCTGCACCAAAACACCCCAACCATAAACACCCCCACCACCACCCGCAAGCGACATATAAAAATACAAGTAACAATTACACCCGGAGACAACAGGGCAAACCCTGGGGAGCAGAAACAACAAGAGGGGAGCCACTGATCAGGAGACCTCAGGGGTAAGGGTCAGGAGACAGGTCCAAGACAGGAACAGGATACAGGCTGCGGAAACCGGATACAGAATATGGCGACAATACTGAGGCACAGGAGGTTAAATACCCTCCCAGAGCAGCACCAGGTGGTGACTAATTGTTGGCAGACACCTGCAGGTGAGCACTGGAACTGCAGGATCAGGTTTCAGCTCCACAGTGCCACCCGGAGGTGCTCTGGTCCCTGACAGTTATATACTGTAAGCAGGGCTATGCCCTGTGCTGAGAAGCAATCCCGACAATATTGTCAGGATCTTCCTCTCCCATTGAGTAACAGCAACTTGTAGGAGTTAACACTTGCACATCCATCCTGCAGTTTGTCCTTCGTCCCCCCCACCTCTCCCGCTACACTGCAATACACATACCACGTCAGCACTAAGACCCATTAGTTCAGCTTCGTCCTCGCCCCCTCTCCTCCACTCTGCTGTCTTGATCTCTTCTTCTCCCTGTGTATGTCCCAAGACAGCAGAGGGGAGGAGGGTGAGGATGAAGCTGAACTGATGGGTCTTAGTGGAGATGTGATAGGTGTATTGTCTGAAGACAGCAGTGTGGAGAAGAGAGGAGAAGAGAGGGGGAACGTAGGACAAACTGCGGGATGGACGCGCTAGTTTTCGTAGGCCTGTGACCTGACATGGATAAACGCTAATAGGATGTGCCCTCAGGTGCTGTGCCTATACAGGTTCTCATGAACGCACAGCAGCTCCTATAAGTTGCTGTCACTTAATGGGAGAGGAATATCCTGACAATATTGTCGGGATCGCTTCTCCGCACAGAGCTTAGCCTGCTGCAGTATATTACATTCAATTTTAAGCTTATGGTGCATTTTTGATTACAGGAGTACATTGCAAAATGTATTCCTGTATCATAAGAAAGGTAAAAATGCAAAAACAAGAAGTGATCTAAAAGCTCTCCAATGGGGGCATTCTTATGAAAGTTGAGAACTTCTGGTAATATTTTCATTGTGCGTGTGTCTTCTTGTCCTGGCAACAACTACTTTCCTTATTTACTGTTGCCAGGGCAAGAAGACACACACAATGAAAAGGATTACCAAAATTTCCAAACTTCCCTCAACTCCACTAAGAATGCCACCATTGGAGAGCTTTTAGATCACTTCCTGGTTTGAGAGTTAGTGAAGAAAAATCCCCCCAACAAGGACACAGACCGTAATAAAAACCTGATTAAGGATGTAATCTTTTATTGTGCTGTCAAAAATTGAATACGTATTGGCTAGAGTTGGGCTTTACGGGTTACGTGTGTGTGTGTGTGTGTCTTCTTGTCCTGGCAACAACCTCTTTCCTTATTTACTGTACACACATTACAGGGATGGGAGGTGAAGGAAAATCACAATAAACAGAAAATAACTTCATCTAGGTATATACAGAAGTAAACAATACAGGGGTGTGGCTGTTACTGAGCTCTGCCACCACAAAACACTGCAGTGTGAGGGCTAGAAGCAGCATTTTCACAGAGAAAGAATGAGCTTCTTCTGCTGTAAACTTTGAAAATGAATTGCTTCACAGTGCCTGCAACTAGAGAGGTCAGTGGGTGTTTTAACGGTCATTTTACATCTATAGCCTGAAAACAGTTCTACAATAGTGTGCTTTGTTAAGCTTTCACTTATTAAAATAACAGTTGTCCCAGGTGCCCAAACTTTGACATACAAATGTAATAAAACAGAGTCTAAAAACATCAAATAAGTGTAAAAAGTAATGGTGTTTTTCAAAGTGCAGTGACCCATTAAAAACAATTTACATTCTGTTTACTGTAGTCATATCGGTGGAAGGCTAAATTTTTTGCTGCCATGAGTAATGCACCTTGCCTTATTAAATAACCCGTATAAAGAGAATCACACAACAAATAAAGGTAACGGTATAAATCATGTGTAGGTAAACTCTGGCCCTCCTACTGTGGTTAAACTACAAATTCCATCATGGATCAGCCTTTGGGAGTCATGCCTGTGGCTGTCTTGTAATGCAATTTGTACTTGCTCCATAGTCGGAGGGCTGGAGTTCACCTACCTTTGGTGTCGATCATTTAAAAGAACTTTCCAATACTTTTTTTTCCAGAACATAAAAAAAAATCTCTCCAATGGGGACACAAACCACATTCAACTTCAACAATGCAAGTGTTCTCAGTCCCAGCGAGTCCAAGGTTGGAATGACAAGGTTCCTTGTTACAGTACTGACCACTCCACCTTTGCATCCAAGATGGTGACATTAGACTGCTTGTGGTTTGGCAAACGGGTGGGTGAACTGACCACAGGGAGCGTTCTGTCCTTAGCGATCACATCACTAATGACATATTCCTTCCTGACAAAAGGTAAGGCTGGAAATTTAACTTCACGGCTTAAGTATGGAATTGCGTAGAGAATGGGATTCAAGCAGCTGTTGAGGCTTACCAAGGCCAAAGTAATTCTCCGTACCTTATAGATGCTTTGTCTGGCAGCACATGTCTTAATGATGTCCATTCTCATGAGGAAGTGCAGGAGATGGGTGACGTGGTAGGGCAGGAAGCAAAGTAGGGAGATGATAAAAACAAATCCAATAATCCTCATGGCCACTTTCCGATGCATGCTTGATTTGATTAGGCACACTTTCCGTGCCATTACAGGGAAGACCACTCCAATAACTGTAAAAGGTACCAGAAAGCCGAAGATCAAGGCACAGACGTTGTAGGCAACAAGCCGATCCTGCCAAAGTGTTGGGGAGAAGCCTTCGAAACATACAGTCTGGGTGCTGTTCTCCGACACATTGTCCAGTGGACCTCCCAAGATTAATGGCAGCACAATGGCACTGCTGACCATCCAGATGGTAATGGTCAGTACTAACGGGTAACAACTAGGCTTGAGTCGTGGGTACATTAAGGGGTGAACAACCGCAAGATACCTGTCCAGGCATATACAGGTAAAGAAGCCAATGCTCACGTAGATGTTGGCAAAGAAAAGGGTGCCCGTAATTCGGCAAGCTACCTCACCCAACACCCAGTTGTTTCCAGTGTTGTGGTAATAAATCCGAAAAGGTAGTAGGCATATGAAAACGAAGTCCACCGCAGACAGGTTGATGAAATAGATGTTGGAGCTTCGGGTCCTCTGCCGGCGCCGAGTCAGGAAGTACAAGGCAAAGATATTGCCTGGTAAGCCCAATATAAACACCAGGCTGTACGTAACTGTGAAAAACCCATACTGGAAGTCAGCCTGAAGGCTGCATACATTGTAGATGGCTCCCTGCGAAGATTGATTCTCATCCATCCCAACATAGGACAAGTCAGGAGAACCTCAGCTGGTTCCAGGGGCTGCAAAGTCGATGAAATCTGCTAAAGATGCAGTTGCAGCATATAGTGCATCACAACCTCAAGCAGCTGTGCACGCTGTGTCTGTTCAAGTCTAACCACCTCTGTTAAAACAGTGAGTAGCACAAGTAACCACAGGAAGTGAAAGGTCTGCAAAAATCGCACTTCAAAAAAAAATGGGTTACACACACGTGAATGGAACAAATATGGAAATCAAAAATGTAACACAAATAACACTTCTGTGAGAGAATTGATGTGTGTGTCCAGACTGGCAGGAATGATAACCTCACCATTGGCCCTGGTGACCAACATCTGTCATACAGAAAGTGAAAAAAAAGGAACAGAAGGCAAAGGGGAGTTTTCCATTTTTCTAGCAACAAGCTGTTCAAAAAGGGGTTTTCTGCTAACTTTGCAAAGATCGGCCCTCGCTTGCTGTTGCACCTCTGGAACAGGAAGTGAAAGGAATTCTCCCCGATGGGACAGACACAACAAAAACCGAACTGGACAGGAGTCTTCAAACATTTACTACTCTATGAAAAACTATAAAAAAACTATTGGGTTTATATATACTTTAATAAGAAAAACCTGGGCATATGGTAGATATGAAAGAGTATCTCAAGCAAGGTCCTACTTTTCTCTGCTTTGTACAAATCGGCCTCTACACAAAATGCAGTTAACGCATCAACTCTCCTTTACACCTTCTAAGAATTAACCTGTGACATCCAGCACTGGGACTGATGCATTTCACAACTACAGAAAGAGAGAGAAATCCATGGGAATTGCTGTCCTCCTGAATGCTTATTGCGGCGTGAATAATACTGATCTAATGGGTTCAACATATTGTGAGACCCTGAGCTGGAACAGGTAAATAGATTGCTATACCAATGTCATTCAGACTTCACTTGCTGCATACTTTGTTCAGCATGACTAGCATTGCACAGGCTTCCTGTTCCTTCACCCTCCTCTAAACATTTATTTTACTGTTGGAAACTAGAGGGAGCCTACACCAGCTAAAAGGTGAGTCAGTAAGGGAGCAGCAATGTGGGGGCTAGTTAAGGCTAGGTTCACACCGAGGCGATTGAGCTGGTGCGATGTTGTCACGCGATTTTGCTTTAAAAAACCGCATGGTTTTAAATTCATAGAGATGTCTATGGGACCCAAACCACGCAAGAACCGCACGAAAATAGCTCCTGCAACGCTTTGCACGACAGGCGATTTCTACCATGCGACAAATCGCAAACATGTGAACAGATTCCATAGAGTTGAATGGAAATCTCTGTTTTGTGTGAAATTGCACGGCTACATCGCCTAGTTGTGAACCCGGCCTAAAGCTGAATAGAAGCATTAACCTCTTGCTGTCCGGAGCAATTTCTGACTATTTCCACGCGCATGATAAAAATCAGAATTTTTGCCTAGAAAACAGATTAAAACCCCCAAACAATGATATATTTTCTGAAAGCGGTGGCCCTGTAGAATAAAAAAAAATGCTAGTTACTATTTTTTTATGTCGCACGGTATTTGCACAAATGTTTATCAAACAAGTATTTTTAGGATAAAATACACTAAAATTAAATTTTGCGCACAGACACAGAATATAATACCCAATTTTTCGGTAAAATATAAAAGTCAGGGTCACGTCGGGTAAATATATACCAAACATGTCAAGCCTTAAAATTGCGTTCGCCCTTGAAACTGCAAACACTACAATACCCAAAAATTCCCATAAGCAATGCTTTAAAAGCTTTTACTGCTCATCAGTTTAGTGTTAACAGTGATTGATGGCCTGAGAATTATTGCTCTCTTCCAGGTCCAGTGATTGGAGGAGAGTTCAGCGGCTGGGAGCTTGCTGATCTCCCTCCGATCTGTCAGAGGAGCCCCGTCGTGCCGGTCCCAGGCGTGCACAGGGGACAGCGGAGCTGGGGGAAGCCGGCGGCGGCGGCGGAGGGGTGGCACACATTCTGCCACACTGTACAAGCGATCCGGCATCTGTATAGCCGCCAGATTGCTTGTATCTGAACAGCAATCACCAGCTCTTTAAAATGATACCAAGAAGACGGCTGCACAGGCTCCACAGCCTTTGCCATGCATACAAGAAGAGGGAGCAGTCAATGACTACTGTACATACATGAAGAAAGAGAATTTGGAGCTTTGGTTGTCACATTTGCATTACCATACGTCTTGCTCACTTCCTGTTCATTTTGATGCTTTATCCTTCACATCTGCTGTAACCTCAGTGCTGATGGAGATCTGCCATGTGCCCCCCCGCCCCATTCTACGAACCTGTTAGCATGCATACAGAGCTTAGGACTCCACTGACACCCACAAAAGAATGTGAAGTTATCCTCAAGTGTAAAAACATACCTGTCCTTGGGCAACAGAAGACCCATGGAGCTTCATGGCTCTAGATGCTCATCAATCACAGGTCAGCTTCAGATCACATAACCTCATCCTTTTGGTTCAGATCACATGGTTTCTATGAGAATAATAAAAACATATACAGTACAACTCTGCAGTCCATGCACATTTCTGCAGGTGTTATGCCTTTAAGAACATACAAAATGAGAAATCCAGTAACTTCTAACTGTTATGACCTGACAACCTTACCTCAGCTGCACTGAAACTCAAGAGTGTTGTCAGTCCTATACAAGTTCCCCTGTGGTGGAATACACAACACCACCTATCCACATAGTTACATAGTTACATAGTATTTGAGGTTGAATAAAGAACCACATGCGTACATTCATTTTTTCCCCCCAACAAAACAAAGCTGCAACCTTAACTCCCAAGAACCTGCTTACTCACTGTGTGTAGGAAAAGGGCTCTTGGGAGATGTAGTTTTGGGGGATTCGCTGATGTCAATAGAAACCGACATCGGGTACCTTGTTGATACTTCCTCCCAACATTTCCTGTAATAATTTAAGAAGCGTAGTGATGACATCACAAGAAGTAATGGAAGTTGTTTTCTTGCTACAGTAAGAAGGTGAAAGAAAATAGTGATGCTGGAACATGATGTAGAGGAGGAGAGGAAGATTTGAAGGTCAATTTAGGTCATGCTTATACAAATTCTTTCAGCCTTACAAGAGATTCCTCTTAAAGTTTAACATTTGTGCAGCACTAAACATAATTCAGCATTGGTTTTAGTGGTTTCTAATGCTGTTATATCACTTGGTGAAGTACCCCGTAAATTCCAGTAGGTGGTGCCAAGCCATTCATTTATTTCCAAGACTGGCGGCAAATCAGTGTAAGAAGACACATGGCTCTCCTATTGTAGGATGTTAGTATTTGGAATTTAAAGGGTGACTCCAATAAAAAATACTGTAAACAAATGAATATGACATACCACTGCTACACAAGCCATTTTGTACTTTAAATATATTAAAAAATTACCTTTCCATTTTAAATTGAAGCCACTGAAGGCGTTGCGTACACACTCGGTGTACAGACAGCCCCCACAAACGTAATTTCCTGCTTCTGTGATTGGCTATCTGCAGTGGCGGAACTACCAGGGTCGCAGAGGTCCGGGCCCTGGAGTTCTGCCACTTGGAGGGGGCCCAGGACAGGAGGAAGGGGCCCCTGGTGACCGCTGATTACAAGGATATTTATTATCCCGGTAACTGCTAATGTCAGTCCCGGGACCTCTTCCTCCTGTCCTGGGCCCTACATGCTTCACCCCTCACCTTGTTCCGGGCGCAGCGTGAAGTATCATCCAGCCGGGCAGCAGCCAATGAGTGGGAGCGGTGTAATCCCCGCCCCCTCATCACACAGAACTGCTGCGGATATGAAGGGGGAGACAGGGAGCTGGAGTATGACGGTGACATGGGGTCCGGGAGCGGAAAGCTGGGGACTTGAAGGGGGAGACAATGGGGAGCTGGGGACATGAAAGAGGAGAGTGTTTTTTTTTTTTTTCTTGTCTAAATTTTGTTTAAAAAAAAAAAATCTAATTTGTTTCTTCTTGGGGTGGGGGGGTCTTCATGAATTCTTGCATCGGGGCCCTGGGGTCACTAGTTACGCCACTGGCTGACTGATTTTGTCAGAAGTCTGCACTAAGATACAAGTAACAGTTTTGGCATCCCTTGCAATAGGAACATCATTTTTTGGTGATTAAGGGTTAATTACTACTAAAGGGATGCAGACACTAAACCTTTCCTCATTACAACACAAAAAGTCCAGCAGCTGATTATACTGAGCCCAGACCCTCCCATTCAGGGATCAGTCTGGAAAGGACATGCTGCAACAAACAGATTTTTCTTCAGAACAGAAAGAGATAGGAATCTGTAACAGAGTTTCTCAAAATCCTTGTAATGTACACAGATCACCCAGAGGGGGCTGATTTATTTTCTCAACAAAATTGGAGTTACTCTTTAACTGTGTATCAGCTGTGATCTGCTGGAACCTGTAGTTCCACAAAAGCCAGAGAGTGTCTAGTCGTTAACAATTATATAAAGATAAGAGGACGATGACCAAATTATTTATTTAATGCAGGCACATACTGTACATCTCACTTACACCAGGACTATGTGGATGCTGTGGGTTACTAAACATTGCCCTTTGCCCTATTCAATAAACACCCTATGAAGGTTGAAGTACAAAATCAGCTTAAAGGCATTGTATTGTGTACTCGTATATATTTTCTTTATGTACTGTGTTCAGGACTAAAAAGTTATATTTTTATCATGAACCAGAATTAGTTTTAGGAAAGTAAATATGGAAAATTGTTTACTAATTAATGTTAATCACATACAGCTAGCATGGTGGATCTCTGTACCTCTTCCTCAAGCGGACATACTGCTATGCTGTGAATAGCCTGTGTTGTGGAAAGGTCTGAACAGCAGGAGTTCAAGTTTCACCCATACAGCTGAATATA